ATGGCGTCGTCCTCGTCGTCCCTGCCGGACCTGCGCGCGAGCGCGTCCTCGAGGCTCGCCGCGACAGGGGCCGGGCCCCTGCCCCTGGGCGGGCCTGGGCCGGCCAGAGCCGCCGGCTGGGGCCCCCTTGCGCCGCCTCCTCCGCCCTCCCGTTCCTCTTCTCCGCTCCCCCTCCTGCTCCTGTCTCCTCCTCCTGCGCCTCCTCCTCCAGCAGGAGGAGCAGGAGGTGGAGACAGGAGCAGAGGGAGGAGGAGGAGGAGGAGGAGGACCTCCTCCTCCTCCTCCTCCTCCTCCTCCTCCTCCTCATCATCATCATCCTCCTTCCCTCTGCTTCTTCTCCTTCTCTGCCGCCGCCGCCTTCGCCTCCTCCTCCTCCTCCGCCGCCGCCACCTCCTCCTCCTCCACGGTGACGCAATAGGAATACGACCTGCCCCTCTCCCCAGAAGACGGCCTGAGACCGGCGCGCCCCTCTCCGCGTTCTGGCCTTCATGCAGGATGGGTCCGAGTTGGTTTTGTCGTAGGCGTTTGTCCAATCCAGAGGCGCTTGTCCCGTTGCCAAATGGCCCTCCTTCCCTGCTCCCACCCCCTCAGGGCTCATCCTTCTCCTGTTGTTCCTCCTCCTCTTGCTCCTCACCATCTTCCTAGCCTCCCTCCCCCTCCACTTCCTCCACTCCATCCTCCTCCTGCCCCCCCCATCATATTCCCTTCCTCCTCCCCCTCCTGGGGTATCGCCACCTCTACACTAGCACCCATCCTGGCCAGGATCACCGTGAGTCTTGGATCGATGCTGGTGCAGCGGTTGTGTCATCTTGCCTTGTCTCCCCCCTCTTTCAGATCTGCACACCCCCGGCAACGACTCCAGGTTGGAGTCTCTTCGCGGGACTCAGCTCCCAGTTCCGATTTCTCTGGATCTCCCTACACCAGCGCCGATCCTGGCCAGGCTCACCGTGAGCCCAGGATCGGTGTTGGTGCAGAGTTTGCGTCCGTCTGCCTTCTTTCATCCTCTCCTCCGCAAACTATCGACATCAATTTCAGGATGAAGTCTCCGCATACCACCGAGTTACGAGCTCTTAGCATGAACCAAACATGTCCTGAGGGAAACGGTCTTGGGTCCAGGGGCTTTCCTCAGGATCGGCTCTTCATCCTGAGATGAGTCTTGACGATCCTCGAGTCCGTTGAGGGCCCCGAGAGCCCGGAAACGGCGACACATCTCAGGACCCGTTTCCCTCAGGGCCCGCTTCTTTCATGGCGAAGTTATCCCGTCCGTCCCCACCCCTCTCCTCCTTTTCCAGCTCGTCTTCGCCCCCCCTCCGCTTTCTGCTGCGTGCAGAAGCGCAACGAGACCCCACCCAGCATTCCTGACGCAACGTCGTTTGGGAGCATTGTCGGTTATGATACGTGCTTTGGCTCGAAGAAGAACACACGCCATAAACATAATTTTTCGGAGCTCCGCGCGGAATTCTTAGATCCGCGCTGGGCACCCCCCGCGGCGACTCCGGCGCCGCCCAGGCGCGCTCCGCGCGCCAGGGGGGGGCCCAACGCAGATCCAAGAAATTCGTGTGGAGCGCCAAAACGGTATGTTTATGCAGTTTTTAGGGGGCCACATGCGAACCCTACATCTACCCCCCACGATTGCGAAGGCCTGACGGCCGGTGCCGCCGACCCTGTTCGCAATGCGCAGCAAGAGGCACGGGCTGTGGGATGGTTTGGGGGAACGGGGAGAAGGACGAGAAGGTGGGGGAGGGAGGTGTCGTATCTGACCCGGGACTTCCCCGGGACTCCCCCGGGACCCCCCCCGGGACCTCCTCTCCCCCCCCCGTCGGGGAAGGGAAAGGGAAGGGGCTTCCCTTCGACTCAATGACGACGTTGCTCAAGGTCGGTACGGGGGGGGGGCGTCGTATCTGACTCGGGGGGGGGTCGCTACCCCCCCCCGCTACCCCCCCCCCCTCCCGGCGGGGGAGGAATGAAAGGGAAGGGGCTTCCCTTCGACTCAATTACGAGGTTGCTCAAGGTCGGCTTGGCTGGAGCCCAGGGGAAGAGGAGTCCCAGGGGGGGGCGTCGTATCTGACCCGGGGGGGGGGTCGCTACCCCCCCCCCCTCCCGGCGGGGGAGGGATCAAAGGGAAGGGGCTTCCCTTCGACTCAATTACGAGGTTGCTCAAGGTCGGCTTGGCTGGAGCCCAGGGGAAGAGGAGTCCCAGGGGGGGGCGTCGTATCTGACCCGGGGGGGGGGTCGCTACCCCCCCCCCTCCCGGCGGGGGAGGGATCAAAGGGAAGGGGCTTCCCTTCGACTCAATTACGAGGTTGCTCAAGGTCGGCTTGGCTGGAGGGGGAAGAGGGTCCCTTCGGAAATCCCGGCCCCCGTCGTATCAAGGGAATTCCCTTCCTTGCTCAAGGTCGGTACGGGGGGGGGCGTCGTATCTGACCCGGGGGGGGGTCGATACCCCCCCCCCCTCCCGGCGGGGAGGGAAAGGGAAGGGGCTTCCCTTCGACTGAATTACGACGTTGCTCAAGGTCGGTACGGGGGGGGGGCGTCGTATCTGACCCCCCCTCCCGGCGGGGGAGGGAAAAGGGAAGGGGCTTCCCTTCGACTGAATTACGACGTTGCTCAAGGTCGGTACGGAAGGGGGGCGTCGTATCTGACCCGGGGGGGGGGTCGCTACCCCCCCCCCCCTCCCGGCGGGGAAGGGATCAAAGGGAAGGGGCTTCCCTTCGACTGAATTACGACGTTGCTCAAGGTCGGTACGGGGGGGGGGCGTCGTATCTGACCCGGGGGGGGAGTCGCTACCCAGAGGGTCATCCGATCCCTCGCAGGGATCGGGTTCGTTTTGGTCTCTTAAGGTCTTAGACCCGATCCCTCCCAGGGATCGGATTCTTAGGCCCTCTTGTGGCTTATATAAAAACAATCACCGAGCAACACCAACTCATCAACTTTCACAAAAACAGACAAGTATCCTCGACTTCCCTCCTCCTGGCAATCCCTCTCCTCACGTCTGCCGTATTTCGTATATTGCCCCGCTATCCCCTGACAAATATACATATATGTATATATGTATCTCTCTTTCATATGTTTAAAGTAACGCTGCGCAAAAAATGGTTCCTTCACCACGTGCTCGCCCGTGGTCTCGACGCGGCCTCCGCCGCTGCTTCCTCGAGTTCGTCGGCGTCGGCCTTGGACACGTGTCATCCGTCCCTCGCCTCCCCCAACTCGGCGTTGCGCCCGACTCGGTCGGCGCGCCGACCGAGACGCGATCCGCGAGACGCCGCGGGCCACTAGCCACGGGCAACGAGTCCGCGGACGCGGACGGAGGCGGGCGCGGACCCCGCTGAGGCCGCGGCTCCTCCGATGGCCGCGGCTCCTCCGATGTGATTCCCTGGTCGTCGTCCCACGCGTGCACGATCGGCACGTACCACCATCGGACAAATCGTCGTCCGATTCGTATGACATCAAATGGCGCGTTCTGCGCCCCCGCCCCCCAACCCCCTTGCAGCCAGCGGTGGAACTCTTCCACCAAGCCGTCGACCGCGACCATTGCTCCACGATCCCACGCCGCGACCCCCGCCGCGACCCGCCCGCTGCAAGGAGCTCGCTGCGTATATATGTGCCTCTCCCTATATATATGTGTATATATATATATATATATCACCTCTTCATTAGATATATGTATATATCGCTATATCCCTACATGTATCTGCCGATATCAAAGTGTAGTACTATATGCTTGTTATCTTCATCTCTGTACCGTATCCCCTGCTCCCCATATGTCTCACGGCCCCCGTATTTCCCTGCACATCCTCCCTGCACTACGTGTATCTCTCCTTCCCTCTCGTCTCCCTCGTTGTCTCATTTCATTTATCTTCTCATGCGTGCCTGCCCCCTCTCTCCCCACTCCCTCTTCCCCGACGAGATCATCCATTCGCCCACCCTCCTCGGCCGCGCAAACCCGCGGGCCTTCGCAGTGAAGGTGTCCGCGGCGTAAAGGGCGGGCGAGCGCGGGGGGCGGGGCCGGCGTAAGCCGGGTGACGACGATGGCGGCGGCGGCGGCGACGACGACGACTCACGCGCAAACCCATCCCCGTTCGGCGAATCGAACACGTGAAACTCCAGAAGGTCCCAGGGACTGCCATGAATGAGGCCCCACTGGGGCCAGCAGCAAAAATCCCAATGCAAATCCCAATGCATTGGGATTTGCATTGGGATTTCGCCGCTTTCGGAAAATCTAAACGGCTCGACTGTGTTTTCCAACAGCTGTTCGCCGACGGGAGATAGGATTGCGCGTGTTTTCTTGGTTTTCGACCTCATCCAGCTGGGTACGCCACTGGACGCAGGTGGGGAGGGGCACGCGGGCAGTGTGCACATGTGGCAGAGAAGAGATCATTAGCATGCCTAAGCAACTGACGATGGCGAAATCGTAGGACGCCTGAGCGAGCCCTCGACTAACGAAGCCATCAATTTACAATAATCATACGGGTAGGTCTGGGAAGATTTCAGCAGCTGGGACTTACCGTTCACCCATTGGTTTTTGGGCCAGCCGCGTGCACGAGCAGATACCTTAGATTCTGGTGTCGTCCGAGCGAAATCTGACCTAAAAAAAGATGTCTTCCTGACCTTCCCGAGACGGGCGTGCGCGTCTCTCCGTTTGCGAACTATGCCAACAACTGAACCTAGTGTCGAGAAAACCTCGATTGGCTTGCTCGTCTCAGATCCAAATGCTCCTAAGAAAGTCACGAACCGACGAGCTGAAACAATTGTTATCGCATCTGCCATGCCAGGTGTCCAATAAAATAGCGTGTTCAGCGGCTGCTCCATGACTGTGTGGACGCCCCGCAGCTTCGCGAAGACCAAAGTGAACGACCTGGGCAACGCACGCGCGCGCACCAATCACGGATAGTGAAACTGTGGAGGCACGGATTGCGACGAAGGTGGGTGACGAGAGGATGGGGTGCGGGGGGAGAGGTGGAAGGAGATTGCGAGAGACGGGAGACTGGCCGCGGACGGCGATCGGATGAAATGTAGAAGGGTTATGTGGTGGAGAGGGGTAGGGATGAGGAGA